ACCCAGTTGATGCTCCGGCCATGCGGCACGCCAGCCTTCCCTTGGCCTATCGGCGCGAGCTTTGGATTCATCAGCCGCTGGCCTTGTTGTGTGACCGCGTTCACGCCGCGTCCCAGCGAGCGTGCGATGCTGCCCCACGCCTCGCCTCCCGTCCTCCGCCGCTTGATCGCCGCATCCTCGTCCTCGCTGTAGTTGCCCACGCCGGGCTTGAGGCCCGACCCCTCGAGCACATTGACCTTGCGCTTCAGCAGCCGAGACACGCGCGTCCACCGCTCCCGCTTATGACCGCCATCGCTCGAAAACGAGAGGTGAAGCAGGTTCCCGCGTCTTTGCGCCCGCCGCAGGCGCGCCTTCGGCCGCAGGTGCTCCGGTGGCGCAGCGCCGGCGGGAACGAAGGTGACCTTTGCCTCGCGCTTGACGTCAGGTTTTGACAGCCTTCTGTACTCCACCCGGTTGCCGTCGAAGAAGCAGCTCGAGCTCATACACACGTGCATCGTGCGAAGCCGCCGATTTTCAAAAAGAAAAAAGAAAACCGCGTACATAGTTCCTTTCTTTTTGGGCGACAAGCGCCCGATTGCTCGTTCGTACACTCGTCGACACTGGATCTCCTCCCCCGGACGGGGCCAGCCTACCCTGAAGGTCTGCCGGTCGGTCGCTCAACCGCTGGTGGGCGGAGCCGGCATGACCGTCGCCGCGGTGGCCGTGCTGGGCCGTGAGGCGCGCACTCACATCGCCGCCGGTCACAACACTGACCCACAGCACCGATTTCGTACTTCACCGTTTCGGTCCTGCTTTCGCCGGACGCCGCCGCCGCACGTGCAAAAAAAAGATGTGCGTGTCTAGATAGTGCTAGTTTTGGGGTGCACTCTGAAGGTATGCCGCTGGAGGTCATCGCTTTGGGCCCGCTTAGAGACGACACTGGAGTGGGAATCCCTATGTATCAAGATCCTCTGTTCTGCGCACGTGCGAAGCGTCACGGCGCGCGCCGGAGCGGGGGGGGGCCGGCATGCGGGCAGAGCAGCCCAGAGGCCGTGCAGGGGGAACGCGCTGCGCCGTCTGCGCAGCGGGCTCGCGCGCGCGCCTTCCATCTCGTCGCCCGCCGTCTGGCCGACGGTGGCCACCGGCGGCTGCGGGCCAAACTCGACGATGTCGGCGTCGTGCTGGATCACCGTCATGCGGAGTGTAAGTTAAGGCCCGATTGGGCTCGTTCGCTTGCCCTGAGGCGGCGCCTGTGAGGCGACAACGAGTGACTTCACAGCCGCGGTGTGATAGCCTCACCATATTCACGCGCGGCGTGCGCAGGCAGTCTACACGGCCAAGGCTGCTGTACTTTCCACACACACACGAAATGATGCAACAGGCCGTCAGCCCGCAGCGGCGCCCCCGCCCGGGCCTACCGGCGCGCGACCGAGCGCAGCGACGCGTGCGGCGGGGCCCAATTCGCTACTATCATTCTCTAGAGGCGGTTCGTTAGAGGCGGGGTCTGTTCACAGTGAACCCAATCACCATTTGCCCAGGCTGCTAAGGGCGGTGAGCGGCTTGCAAGGCCAAAGAAGGCAGCGCGTGCCAGAGAGCAAGGCCGACGATGTCGCCTCCGCCTCTCGTGTACGAGCGGTACGCCAAGCTCGTCTCGAGAGGCGCGCCCGACTCGGTCGACTTCCTCAACGGCCAGTGGCAGGTTGGGGCGCCTCCCCGCGCCGGGCGCGCGCAAAAAGGAATCAGACCAACCTGACGCGTGCCGCCCTGCCCCCGTAGCGCGACCTCGTCGAGCCCGTCATCGGCGATCGACCGCACTACACCAAGGCCGGCTCCGGCTCCACCACCCTCCACATCTACTACCAGGCACGGCCACGGCTCCCGTCCGCCGCTCACCGCGCTGTTGGTCCGGTCACCGCGCGCCCGTCTCACGCAGGCGGACACGGCAACGTGGCATATCGCCTCGGAGGTTGGCGCGGGCCTCGTATTCGTCGCCGCCGCCTCCATCGCCCACCACCCCAACACCGTCCCTCGCTCCGCTTGGATGCTCGCCAAGCTCAACGCCGGCGCAGTCTCGCTCGAGGCGTGGCCCGACTTTGAGATTGTCACCGAGGGGCCAAATACGGAGGAGGAGCCCTTCCTGCTCGAGGAGATCGGGGTCGACTTCTTCCTCCGCGTCCAGCTCAAGACGCGCAAGGTTGCCCTCCCCCGCCCCCCCTCGCCCGCCCCCACTCCCCCCTTGCCCCAGCCCTCCCGCCCCCGCCAGCCCGCTGCCACCAAGTGCGTGGCGAGTCTTGCGCGCCCCTCGCCCCACCCTCCCCGCCGAGCCTCACCGCCCGCCCGCCGGCCCGCCGGGCCTACCCACCACGCGAGCC